TCACTTGTCCGAAATTCTTGTGGCTGTCTAGACGATCTCTTTTGAAAGAAGCTTTTTTGAAAGAGGCTTGTAGTCCAGACATACCCAGGCTGCCTCCAGAGAGCACATTTGCAATCTGTAGCAAGAGGTGTGTGTGAGGCAAGGTGGGAAGGGCATGCCAGGAGTTGGACTGTGGTCCATAGTACTGCTGATCTGCAAGCCACATTCTATTGAATAGGACACCTGAAAAGACACCCCCAAAGATTTAACTCCAACCCCCATCCTATAATGTCAGTGACTTCACTCGTCCTGGAGGAGTCGGGGAATCAGAGGGAGCAAAAGTGGCTTAAAGTTCTTCGGTATAGTTTTTTCTCTCTTGGATATACAGCACAAAATCTGACCCTATATTTCTACTCCATATAATCCTTCTCTAGGAGAGATGTTTCCATTTTACAACTTTCTTCCCTTCTGTTTCCCCTCCCTTCACTAAATTCAACAAAGTCCTGAGAAAACAAGTCATGATATATCAGAATACACTGTAATTCGAGTTAGCTCTTGCATGGGGACTTTATTTATTTGGGAGGGTCATCTAAATCTGGTCAGAGTAATTTCTCTGTATCTTATCAAATATTGTTTTCCTAGGAGAGAATTATTTGAATTGGTTTGCTTCATTGTATATTTATCCCAGAAGATTTTCAACTTTCTACTAGTAGAACTGTAAATGGCATTTAATATGGACTTCTTATATTCCGGCTTGTAAAATTTGTGTAGACACACAGCTTAATTCACATTCCTGGACATCATTATTACTGAGACCTGATCTGCACAGGAAATTAATTTGGTAAAACTACATTACTCAAAGGTACCTAAAATCCTTGCCCTGCTGCAACACATTTAAACCCTGGTACAGATAGTGCTAGGTTGGTGGAAGGATTCTCCTGTCAAACTATCTACTTGCTCTTAGGGAGGTAGAATACATGTGGGTTGACTGGAGAAGACCTGCCACTGGTATAGGTAGAGTCTTCGCTGAAGTGGTACAACTGCACTGCTATAATAGTGCAGCCATACGCTTGGCAGAGCTCTAGTCTTTCTAACTACCAGCATCAATCAGACCTCCTACTGATGATTGTTACTTAGACATTAATGTGAGGACGTGAGACAATAATTCATGAAGGAGACGGTCACTCTTTATGAAAGCATGTTCAGCAAGAGAATGTGTCCCTTATTCTGATCTCTTTGGGGCATTAATGAAGCATTCAAAGACCATTCAGCTCTGCATTTGATTCCACCAATCTCAGATGAGTGGTAAAATTCACATTGACTTTTATGTAGGCCTAGGATTTCATCCCAAGAGCTGCATGGGTAAAATATGTATAAAATTCTATAGTCAATAATTTTAGGATTTGTAATTTGTGTAACCAGCAGATAATGTAAAACTGTAAAATGTCAATATTTCCATTCTAACATTGAAGTATATTATTTATAATCTATCTTATTATTCCTATGAAGAACATTTGAAGGTTTACTGAAGTTTACTTCCTTCCAGTGTATGATGTGATGATCATATCCTTGATTGCATGAATTTATCAGCAGTTATCCTCATTACCGTCCTAACACTTTTATTAAATATTCAAAATGTAAACTAGAGTGCCAGACAATTGAAAGGAAATCTATGGTTTCTTTTAAAGAAAAGTAAAACTCGTGGATATTTTATGACTCTCCTCATTTCATCCCTCAATCTCCCAAACAACCTATTGTTTTCTTTTGATGGACAGGGCACTTTCCCTCAGAATAACAACTGTGTGTTAGTTTACTACATCATGCTTCAGGTTAGAATTATGAGGAAAAGAATGTCAAAAAACTGATTTATTTAAAGGAAATCCCCTTTCAGCTCTTAAATAGCCCTCTTTTCTCTCTATTTGGTGATTCAGATCCTGTTTCTCTCTCTCTCTCTCTCTCTCTCTGTCTCTCTCTCTCTCTCTCCCCTCACACAAGGAGGTCATCCCCTTCTACACCCCACTTCTCAGCCAGATCCTGCAGCCCTGTCCCACACACTGAATCCCTCATTTTTTGGCCCTACCCAAAGTCTAGGGAGGCCCACAAAATCCACTAACCCTGGAAGAGTTAATCTGGCCTGAGGCCTTGATTCTCAGTCCTCCCTGCTCCCACCCCCTCCCCAGAGAAGTGAGGTGTTTCAGTTGGGGGCTATCCCAGTGAGGGTTGGGGTTTTTTGGAGGAGTTTTCTTTTCCTTCTCACTTTTGTGGACTGATTTTTCTGTGCATCAGTAGCCCCAACCCAAAAAAGGTTTCCCGTCCCTGCCATAAATTTGAAAATTTTTTTATTGGACATAATATTTTACTTTATTTAAAATTAAGCCTGGCCAACAAGGCCCCTCAGTCTCTGGCCACAGCACCCTGTCTCTGGCCCCAATCCTGAGGCTAGCCGTGTGGTCCAGCCCCTATCTGGCCACAGGAAGGACTGGTGGCGGCCCCCTACTGCTGTGACATGGGTAGAAGGGAAAGCCATGATCTGGCTGCGGTGGACAAAGTGGGGGTTGATGAACGTAGTAAGCAGGGGGCACAGCCCCTTAGTTTCATATAAACATTAGTAGGGTTGTTTACTTCTTCAGAAGAGTGAAGCTAAGGTGAGCAACTCTATTATAAGAAAATACCTTGAATTTTCTTACTGTAGTTATTAATCAAAGAAGAGAGTTTGATATTTTCATAGTACTGAACAGATAATTAAAAAAAAAGCTTTTTGGCTTTAATGCATAACTTTGTATTTGAATTAACTGGCATCCATTAAGAGCCAATCAGAAAATACAGCTATTTAAAATGGATACAGCCAAGCACAGTGTGTAACTGAAAAAATAAATATTGCAAAATGAACTAGTATCCCATGCCCACTGATTATCTGAGACAATTCCATTTCAGAATTAGATGTGTGGTCTGTTGGTATGAGTATTGGTCTAACAACAATCTTTTACAAATAGGAATTTCTTACTAGCTTTCCTTTTCTGAGATGTTAAGAGAATGAATGTATTATATTTTAGTTTCAGCAGAAAACCTGGAGAAGAACCTGAGGCAGATGGGAAGGCAGCTTCAACAACTTGAGAAGGATTTGGAAATCTTCCCCCCTCCTGAAAATATACATGACAAGTTTGTGACAAAGATGTCTATATCCTTTTGACAGTTAAATATCTTATGAAGGCTTCTTATGAACATTTACTTAACAGTACAAATTTATTTGCATTTGCAGCATTCCTATTTGAAAACATAAATCCTCTTTTCCTCAAGGACGAAGTATACAGAAGAATTAAAAAAAAGACCAGTAATATCTGAATAAAAACAAGATTGCCTAATGGCAGTGGTTCTGAACTTTATGTATAAAAACATGGATGGAAAACTTTTTTTTAGTGAGCTAAAAGGTAAATGTGTTAAAATAAGTGTGTTAACATCTTCTTTTAGGGTGTGTCTAAACTACACCCCTCTGCCGACAGAGGAATGTAGATTAGTCACATCGCTACTGAAAATGAAGTATAGATTTAAACATCCCGCGCTTCATTTGAATAAAAATAGCCACCGCTTTTTTCCGATGCGGCACTTTGCCGGCAAAAAGCAGCAGTCTAGATGGGGATCGGTCGACAAGGAAAGCCTTTTCTGGCTGATCCCTTATGCCTTGTTCAACGAGGTTTACAGGATCAGTCGGAGAAGGCTTTCCTTGTCGACCGATCCCCATCTAGACTGACGCTTTTTGCCAGCAAAGTGCCACGGTGGCAAAAAGCGGCGGCCATTTTTATTCAAATGAAGCGCGGGATGTTTAAATCCATTCTTCAGTTTCAATAACGATGTGCCTAATCTACATCCCTCTGTCGGCAGAGGGGTGCAGTTTAGACACACCTTTAGAAGGAGAATGTTGTCATGTTTAATTTCCTATTGCTGTGTTCTATATTGTAGGTGAAAGTGCCATTTCAGTTCGATGTGATTGCCCTTCTTAGGTTATATATTACCATTGAGATTCTGTCCACTTTGCGTAGGTGGTGTTTAAAGCTTTTCAAGTTTGTTGATATTCTTAGTTTATGAAGCTCATCATCCATGAAGACAATCTCTGCCTCATTTGTTTTTGACAAAGCTAGTTTTCATTATTTTTATGAAAAGCAATGGCTTTGATTCTTTCTCTTCCCCTTAGGGGAAAACTTGGTTCTACTAGTGGATCCATTTCTTCCTACCTGCTGATGTCCATGTTCTGTTGCATACATCTTCTCTCTTTGCCGGAAGGGAAGCAGCTGGCAAGGA